AAGGGGGGGGGGGGGGGGGGCTACTCCCAACAGAAGCACTTCCCCCAACATTAGGGTCACCCAACGTTTTCTTTTGCCGCGGTTTTCATCAACACATTTCGTTTACCGTGTCTGACTCCTCCGCCGCGTCTTTGTTCTTAGCCTGTCACCAATCTTCGACTACAGCAGTACAGGAAGCATAGTGCCGACGGTTTGGACGGCATCATACCGGGCACCCAGCACTATTCAGAGTGTTATGAACCAACGTAAATGTTCCCCATCTGCGGCACGCGATGTAAACCGGCCTTGATGGACCACTGCGCCTGCATCCACTACGAAAGCCATGGCTACCTCGCAACAATTACTATACTTAACGTCAAGGGATACAGGGGATGTCTGCGTGCGTGCCAGATTGGCACCCGAGTCGCGTGTAGGGTGGAGTCGATGCCGTTGCAAGCGGCACTGTGTGGAGCAAGCATACTTCTAAACTCGTTTGGGCAAAAACAGACCCCCCCCCCCCGCCGCCCCTCCATCCCCTCCGCAAACAACAGCACCGCCAAATGCAGTCATACCAAAAAGAGCACAAAATAACTCACGTGAGTTCCTCCTGTATCCACGCGACCTGCTCCTGCAGCATCTCCGTCGCGAGGTCGTCCCCAAGCCCCTTCGGCACCGCGTGGCTGTACAGGGCAAGGAGGCGGTGGGACTCCTGCACCAGGCCCTGCGCCGCAGAGAGCTGTTCGAGGTAGAACTCCAAGAAGCTCAGCGTGCGGCGAAGCTGCACGGACAAGCACATTTGATCGATATTACTTATATGCCGGAGAGTAATTAGTAGCGACATGTCGTTGCGTTGTGCCCGGGGATCGCGGACACGATGCAAGGGCTGTTGAAACGGAGGCCGGGGAGAGGGGTTTAGGAGAAGGGAAACACTAAACACTTCGCTGCTGTACCGGTGATTTCTTCCGACTTAAAAAACGCAAACTCTGTACCGTGAGATTTTCAAGAGCACACAAAACCACACAAAAGCACAAAAGCAAAAAAAAAACGACCGCAACGACGACGACGATGACGGCAACAACAACACCCAACAACTACCACCACCGCCACGGTACGTTACGCTACATTACGAACATCTGCACAGCCCCACCTCTCCGCTCGAGAAGCCGCCCCCCGTAAAGCGCTGCTGCAGGCGTATCTCTAGCTTCTGCTGGAACAGCGACCACACCTCGCACAGGTCCTCGATCACCAGCTGAAAACACGGCACGAGCAATGAATCGTTTCGCGACGGAGAGGGGGTGGTCGGACAGAGGTGGGGAATGGTTCCGGGGGGGGGGGGGGGGGGGGGGGGA